TGAGAGTGTCCTCTCCGCGTCCTATCCTGCGTTGCTCCGAAAAATCGTTGGAGCCCCCTCGTTCGACTTTCCGGGGAAAGGGCTTAGTTTATGGCACCCTCAGGTACCCGCGCGCTTTTTCTTCCTGGGTGACAAAGTCCAGGCCACCACTTCGCCGCCGAAATCTCGCATTTCTTACACATTGTTGCTCAAGATCGTTTTAACATAACGCTTCATTACCACACCGCGTTTGTTTCGCGCAAACGAAGTTGTAGGTGCGTGGATCAGAAGTACGGTACGAGTGAATTAATTGAGTTTGAATGTTTATCGTTGCGTACTCGCTTCTCTGGAAAGCTTCAAACGGAGAGAAAATGTTTCGGGAAAATGAATTGTGATATGTTATCGTTAGTATTCCAAATTGAATTCTCATATTTGAGATAAATGTCCACGTATACGCGTCTGTATAGCCACTGTTCAAACACAGTATCGCGGTACAAACGAGAAGGAAAAAGGAGAGAAAGATCGTTGCTCCTTCGAGCAATAATTTCGACGAATTATAACGAGGAATACGTTAAATATAATAGATCGTTCTTTAACGAATTAAAACAGTCGAGCTCGCAACTCCGTGCACTTTCATTAAGAAGTAGCAGTTGATTTCTGAATAAGTTGAAGTTTCTTCGACTTAAGATAAAACTGCTGAAGTCTGTTTCTTCGCAATTATGGGTCAGTTGACGTTGAAACCTCGAAAACCTGGTGTGTTCTTTATTTCGGCAAGAAAGTTTCACTCAGTTTCCGTGGAAAAATCGAATTCCTCCGGAATCGTCTCGTCCTTCTCTCCCTTGGGAAATGTAATATTGTTGTTTAATCCTGGCGCGACGTTAGCGGCAATTGCGTCGCTTCGAAGAATCACCGTTAGGATACACGTTTTTCGTCCGAAGTTCGGAAAGTTTGATCAAAACGCGTTCCCGCAGCAATACATTTTCCCTAACTGCAGCACTTCTACGTTGGCTTTCAGATAACGTTGGCAAATACACCCGGGTTGTTGAATATTTTCGGGAAATCAAATGTTTGCGCATGTGTGAATACATGTACAAAGCTATTCTACGAGAAGTACGGGAATATTTGGTTGCTCGTGGGACCTGGTTCCCTAATGAACGTAACTTCGCAGAAATAGTAAGCTGTGATAATTCTAACTTTCCACAAAATTGATTATTTCCCGTTATTTCCGATTCTGTTCAAATTTAGACACCCTTCTCGACAAAGTAAAATCGACGCGTGTAATCATTCGCGATGAATATCAGTTTGTACAACCTCGTTGTGCCAATATAGTATGTACGAAAGCGATATTTCGGCAAATTGATGTCAATTTCAGTAAATTGATATCGATACTGTAGGAATAGGGTTTTATTAAGATGTCTATTCCGCTAGTTACAGAGATAACACGACGAGTAAGACTAGTTCGTAGCGCCTACACAGGCCTTATCGTATCGTATTGTGGCGTGTTCTTGCAGACTTCTTCCAGAGTCACTCCAAGCTGACAGACTGACAGACTCTTTCCGGATTGATTTTCGGCTGATTTTCGACTGTTTCCACGTGTCGTGGGCACGTGCTTTTATCTTAGCCCAGCCCGAACGTTCCACACATTTTTTCTAAACCCGGCACGTTCGGGCTAGGGTTTTTGCCTGCCTGGTCGCGTTACGCTAGAATATTCTTGGAGCCTGCCGGCACGTGCCGATCAGCCGGTAAATATATCGAGAAGATTCGATTGTCCGTGTTCGCGACTTCTTTTATCATGCCTGCTTCCCACAATACCAGATGAGGACACGGTGATTAAATACGGGAATAGCTAAAAGTCAAATATATGATAAAATCTACTCTGAAGCTTCCGATATTGGATCACGAGAGTCTATTCTCCGACTGTACTTTCCGACTGTACAAAAAGTTATACGAAAAATACATATTCCTGCGTCCCTCGTGTTCCGCGAAAACGATTAATTTCCTGCTTCGATCGTTCGTCGTTCTCTTTATCGCCGATAATCAGCGAATATTTGTGGACTTTCGATGAAAAAGAGAGAACCGTGGGAAGAAGAATCGGGGAAACGTAATTTTCTGCCGTGGAAAATAACGATTCTCGCTAATTTCTCGCGGAGAGACTAACCGATTCGTCCCGCGAATTCGCCTTTTATACCCAAATCCTTAAATCCACGTTCGCGAAGGCCACACTCGACGTTCTTTCATTGTCGGACAATTCACGGCATGGACAGGTCTCCCTTTTCCAACTCGGCAACCGCGACAATTTCTGCGGAAAACCGTCGAGCTCGTAGGATACGACGCGGGAGAGACCTCATATCGAACGTGTCCGATGGTCGTGGCTCGTTAGCCATCAGCACCTTTGCCGTGCACGAGTTCCTACAGTGCAGCGTTAATTAACCTGCTGCTACGGCTTGCTAGGTCGAAAACACCGGTCTGATGCTATTCGCAAATTATCTCGGTAAATGGCACCGGTGAAGCGCAGGATTCGCCATTCGCGAGCACGCTGGATGTTATGGAATACTTCAAAGACGGTAATTGGCATTACTATATTACCGTGTGCAAGCAAGAAGTTCGCGAAGAATTTGTAGCTTCGTCGAGTTGATTGGTAATACTTTTAACACGTTCAGCGTCGACTCTTGGACGCGAAATTTTCAGTGATGAATCGATCGAATGTTTCGATAGAACGAATACGAAGGAAGATTAAAATGTCAAGAATTCGAGTAAATGAAAAATTTCTAGCTTTATTTAGCATTATTCTTACCGCGTTTCTTGTCAATTTTCTGAAGTGACGTTTTCGTTGAACGAATAGAGGTATATACCTACTTCGATTGAATGCTTCAATTGAATAAATACGAAGGAAGATTAAAGTATCAAGGATTCGGGTAAATGAAAAATTTGTAGCTTCGTTTGACATTATTTTTAACACGTTCCTTGTTAATTTTCTGAAGTTTTCGTTGAACGAAGAAAAATGGAAAGAATGGACGCAAAAGAAGATTAAAACGTGACGAGTTCGATATCGCAGATATTTTTCTGCAAGTGCATATT